ACAAAACAAAACAAAAACTATGTGTGCACACATACATAATATTACCTATTAATTAGAATACTACAATTATGTAAACAATACAAATTACTTTTGCAATGTTAATCTTTTTGGACACTCAAGGAAAAGGTGGAAAATATAGTGTGTTTATCACCCTTTTACTCACAAAATGCAACTCAACTGACATTGAAGTCAATTCCCTTTTTCTTTCAATTCTATAAACAATATGACACTACCATCTTCATGTTTTCCTGCACACACACACACACACACAAAAAATGAAACCTGCTGGGCCACCACAGTGAAGTTCCAAGTTGACTGGAAAGAAAGGTATGAAAGGCTTTAAAAGATTGTGGTATTGCTCATAAACAATCCATGAAAAGCAGGTCTGATCCCCACACGGAGTGACCAGTGTCTGATGCACACAGACACAGTGTCTGATGAACACTAAGCTTAAGCAAATATGGGCTGGATATGATGATGCAAGAGTCGGTTTTCCACAGCAAGCAACTTACCTGCTTGTTGAAATGCTACTTGGACAGCTCTTTTAATGTGAATAATGGAAAACTATCACTTGAAAAATAAGAACATATTACGTTTTAGAAATACTGAATCAAATTCTGATATTTCTCAAAATTCTATGTATGTTTAGGTTATAACTACTTATGTCCACATATATAATAAGACACCAAAGGAGATCAGCAAATTGCTTAAGTTGCCAAAACCACATTTCACTTTACCCACTTAAAAGTTATAGTTTGAAAATACTAGGAAATGAGATGTAAATTAAGAACAGGTTACTGTCATGGAAATTTGCCTCTGTATTGAAAAATAGGTAAAAGAAGTAAAATATCATATAGATATTTTAGATAATGATCTTCCAGATAATATATAAATTAAATAATAGTTTGATGTTAGCACAATTTTTAAAATTATTTTTAAAATTCCTAATTGCATTGTCATTTCTTATGAATATATACTCCTAAAAGAAAATATCAAATTTGAATATAATACATAATTGGCATTTTAAAATGTTTTTGAAAAAAACAATGTGTACGTCCTTACTATTATCAAGGTTGGAGAAATACTAGAAAGCTGTCTAAGCAGCCAGGTTTCTTTGAAAAAAAAAAAAGTGATAACTTTTTACCTATTTTCAAGATGAATCACTTGCTTTATATTCTGGCTTTATGTGTATTTATTACACTAAAATTAGTGAAACCATGAAAAAGACAATAAAGGTGGATTTTATTTGAGCCACATAATTTTATCTTTCCAAAATGCTTTTCTTTAAATTATATCCATTTCAGACTACCTAATGCCCATTGAAATGCCAATGCAAATAGCTACATATATACCTATGCCTAATAACAACAAATTTAACATTATGTCACTACTTATATGGAAAAATGTGTCTAATGTTGCATATTTTAAGCATACACCTGTGGAATAATAAATGTTGTTAGGTGGTTAAGCTAGTGAAAACAAGTTAAAGACCTGAACAAAGGATTTACTAATGTTCATTGTTCTTAGGTTTTATATTTAATATTTTATCTCATTTAATCATAAGGCACATTTCCTTGTGTGAAGAATAACTATGTCATTTTTGATGAGTGAGATAGATCCATTCCGGTACCACAATATACAGAAATGTCTTTTCTACCATCTTTTAAATACAAAATTATCTACTAACCGAAATATTTTATCATAAGTATAAAATCCTCAAAAGTACTGTTCTTTTATGAGATTTTATGGTTAGTTCCTGTAGATATCTCTAATGCTTAATTATATATTTACACCATTATACAGTTTATATTAAAATCCCCATGTAGTAAAGGGTTTTCAACCAATTATTGTTGACTGGCATCTGGATATGACTGAGATAAAAGTTTAATATGAACAATATATATATGACACTTTAAAAAATGAATTTACAAATAGATTCTAAAATTAAGGACAGATTTAAATTAACATTACAATTCTGGCTATCATACATGTAATCCTGAATATGTGTCTTAATATATGTTCCAAGGAATTATTTATAAAAAAAGAACAACTGTTTTTGAAAACTACATTTTAAAACACTAAAATAACATTTGCATTCTATAATATGAAAACAATATATTACCCAATTAAACACAAACCAATATGCATTAGGTGGTTGCTACCACATCACATATTTATTTCACACTTTATTGGAACAGATATTTCCAAAAGAAACATCTAGCACAGAGAAAGAATTGTATAAAAATTTCTTTTTCTGAAAAAAAAAAACAAACTCAAATTATTTTTGTGTTAATTATTAGAATACTTTAACAACTATTTTAATACACGATAATGTTATAGCAGAATATTTGTTAAACCAAAGAAAAAAAATTAGATATTTAGAATACTACATTATTTATGTTTAATTACAATAAAACTTAAGCTCTTCATACTATGGTAAATACTCTACTAAAAAAACTTTGAATTACTAATTATAATTCAGGTCCAACTCCAATTAGTGCCTAATTAATTTTATAGTGTGTTAAGAGTATGTTCTCCCTCTTTTGATGATAAAACCTTCTCATATTACTTTTTCTCTGAAATATAAAATTGTTAAGAATTTACCAATATTTCCAGAGAAATTTACAAAGAGAAGCATAATCATTTGCTTTCAGTAATTGCTACAATCTTTGTTTTCAGTTTTTACAAATCTGAATTTTTTCCAGAAGATTGGAGATTTATCCTGATAAACACTGCACATGATATATTTTTATATCTTTTTATGCATGAAAAACAATTGGCACCACATCTTGATGAAATTAACATTACATTTTTTTATTTCATAAAGTTTATTCTGAAAGTAAACATGAAGTAAAAATGTCAACTATTATTTCTCCTTTCCTCAGAAGATGATGTTACTGACTTTCAAATAAATAATTGCAGATGCAGAAGCCTTCCAAAATATTAATATTACTAATAGCAGAGTGGCTCACAGCTACAAAATCTGTTCTCAGTACAGGAAATAATGCTTCATACAATCTAAATATATCTATACTTTCATTGTTCAATAATATTCAAATCTTTTCAAAGAAAAAAAATTGTGGTGCCCTAATTCTAATTTTTCCCCACTATTTAATCTCTTTCTTGTCCCTAGTAAGTTTCTGATAGTAAAAATTGAGTTATTTTAACTTTAGGAAAGCATTTACTGCAAATATTCTACTTACAATAAGGATTTTTACATTAATATTTTATCACAGTATGTTCAGGAGTAAAGGTTTATTTGTTGTATTTTGAAAAGCCATCATCTTCCCCAATGTGATGATGCATTCCCCCCAAGGGATAGAAATAAGGATAAATTGTCAGTTTCAAATAATACTTTTAAAACGTATGATCTCGTGTAACTCTTTTTAAAAGTCACTATTTGACACAAAATGCAAACGTGTCACTTGAGTTCTCACTTAATAGGCCAAGCTATAAAAAGACTAAAAAATTTTAAATACAAATATTTCTTAATAAGAGTGAAGGATTTTGAAGCATTTTAAGGAAATTCTTACACTTCTTATGTTTAAAAAAAAAAAATCTAATTGTAACATTCTGCCAATTAAATGAAGATCTGCCGATGACATTTACCCTCTCCCTTCATAACAAAAAAGATATGCAATCATTTTTATGGAAGATTATCTAAAGAGGAACATTACTGTAAATCAATGACAAAAAAATATTAGACACTCTCCTTCTCCAGGTTAGACTGTCCATCCTCTAGATTCCTGCACTGACACCAAAGGTAATAAATACTTTAAGCTGAATTTTAAATAATAGCTTCAGGGTTTCAGCCAGTAAAGATGCACTGTTGGTAACCACCAAAAACTCCACTATTCAGCACTCAGCCAACAAAGGACAGCAAATAATTCCCAGCAGCATAAATACCGGGAAGGCTACCTTGGGCTTTGTTTTTGTTATGTAAAATGCATTAAAGTGACTCATCCACTTAAGCTTACCTACTCATAGAAGCTTTAAAGTAGCTTCAAGAACCAAAAAAAATGCTTTCCCAGAATGCCTGATAGGCTATTCAGAGCATTTAAAAATATGTATATATTTATATGTGCCCCCTGAATTTGATACTTTATTGCAGCCTAAGAGAGAAGAGAATTGTTATATTTCACTCCCTTCCTGCCGTGTGACTATAGTTACCTTTCAACACTCTGTCTCCAGAATAGCAACGAGTTTTTTTTTTTTTAATTTAAAAGTTATTTTAGAAATGTTAAAAATAGGGGAAAAAAAATTGCAGGAGACTGTGGAAACAGTCCCTCCCTAAAAGAATGGGAGTTCTTTTCATTCTAAGAACAGGAAACCGAGTATCAGTCAGCACTTAGATGTTTCCAATAAAGGGTCAGGGAGGTTGGATTGCACAGCCCCAGTACCTGTGAGCCCCGGGGTGGGCAGCACGCCCTGCTGCGGGGAGCAGGCACACCTCGGATCTGAAAGGCTGTCAAGTGCGCCCAGGAATTTGGGATCTAAATGAGTTTGGGCACTATAGCAATTGGAGATCATCCCAGAGGCCAAGTGCAGGAGAAGTCCAAGCTACCCTGGCAAGCTGGAAATTAACTATTTGTAAAATACTCAACCAAAACACAACTTTTTTATTTAACTGGGTTTGATGAGAGCGGATGAATGACTGGAAACTTTTCTCCCAGTCCAGTTAAACTCTTGAGTTTCTACAATCCTTTTAGAGATGGACTAAGACGCCAGGAGTCGTCGGCCAACATTTCTCGGGACAGCTCGGCCCCCGGCGCCTGGCCGCGCTTAGGGTCGGGAGAAGCCAGTTCGGAGCGCATTCCAGCCTCGAGCCGCGCACTCAGCCGGCTCACTCGGCCTCTCCAGATCCGAGCCCCGCTCGCCAGCCGTTCGCTCCCCACCCCCACGGGCAGAAAAGCTCCGCGACTCGGGAACCGACCCCAGCCTCCAGCTCCCGCGGCATCACCCGGGCCGCGCTCCCCGCCCTGCCGGGCCCGCCGACTTACGTGACGGCCGAAGGGAACGGCTCCTCGGACGAGGGACCGATCAGCAAAGATTGGAAAAGTGTCAGAGTCAAGGCCAGCAGGCAGCCAGCAGCCATCTTCGCGATCTAAGATCAATCCCCCCTCCCTCCCCAGCTGGGGGAAGGAGCGGTGCTGGAAACCGCGGGCTGCGGAAAAGGAGCACGCTCTCGCAGACCGCCGACGTCTGGAGGGCCGGCGCACACGGGGCCCGCGGCGTGGAGTGGCGCGGGGGACCGCTAGGACGAAGCCGGGTGCCAGGGAAGGGGCGGTGGCGGGAGGACCCACTAGCGTGTCTCGGCTGCTCAGCGCCACGGCTGCCTCGCCTCCCTCTCCTCCGCCGCCATCAAGGGCGACTTTGGAAACAGTCCTCGGCAAGCTTGCTGGCGCTCGCGCGCTCTCGCTCTCCCTCTCGGTTTCCTCCCTGATTTATTCCCCTGATTGTCGAGGCAAAGGAGGAGGCGGGGGCGGGGGCGGAGGAGGGTGACGGCGCTGGGGAGGGGTGGGGGTGAATGCAGGAATGGGGGAATGGCAGGCAGGCTGGGAGACTTGTGGAAGAGAGAGGCTCCGTCTGGCTTCTCCCGGCAAGTCAGAGGGAGGTGGCTGGGGGTGGGCAGCGGGAGGGCTGGGCGTCAGAGCAGTCGGGCGGAGACGGGCCGGGAGCAACCCTCCATACAAGGCAGAAAGGAACTCCCAAAGTCGGCGTGGATTTCCTCCCGCCGCCCGGCGTGCGGAGGGGGAGCGGACCCAGCCCCGCGGGGCTCCCGGGGGACAACCAGCCGCCCGGCGGGCAGCCACAGGCTGCAGAGGCTCCAGCTGAGCACTTGGCTCGCGTCTTCCGGGCTTATTTTTGCACGCGCTAGCGGCTTTCCCCCAACCCTTTTCCCAGGCGCAGAATCCACTGCCTGCCTAGGAATCGTGAAGTGATTTGACAACAAATGTAGGAGGGGTTTGTGTTGCATTTTTAAAGCACCACTATTGACTTTCTACCAGGTGGCACTATTTGCCCATGTGCCAGAGGTTAGAGCCTTTGGCGGGACTTGGTACTAATTGTGCCAGAATTGTACGAATGGGATCGGCTTACCTGAGGAGGACCGAGCTAGGGACAGTTAAAGAAGGATATGATGCTGTAACCCCCCCCCCCCCCCCCCC